AGATATATATATATATATATATGTACCTTGTTCAACTGAGGCCTGGAATTTTCTATAAACTATGCAATGTCAACAATATTACTAAAGCCTAGACAACAATGTAATTGTAAGCACAATGTACAGCTCATACAGAGTTACTTAACAAAATATGTGACAGCTAATGCTGTCATGAAAACTAAACAATTAAATATTAAGTCACAAAATAAACTAGATAATAATACTTACACTAAACAGTCTTGTACATCCAACAATAGAAAACAAAATATGAACAGCAGTTGATGTAGTACAGTGTAAACTGAGCTCTTTCTAATGGCTATATACACTTGTGTCAACTGACTACATATATGTTGTAGATCTCAAGGCAAAGTATAGAAGGTGGGCATGGCAATGGTCAAGTAAATAAACTTGTAGGACTTTATATCTCACTTTTCAGTTAGGTCAAACACATGTAGCTAGTATGAAGAAGAAACACATGTACATTGCTAACTCATGTAGCTGCTAAAGTAAAGGTTTTCAAAGCACATGGATCATGTCACACAAAAAATTCATTTTAAATACTTTTTGAAATATTTTCTTTGAAACAAAGTAATTAAACCTTAGATAACATAATATTTCCCATTGTAACATACATTATAATGTTACTTTCATTGACATATATTGATATTAAAGTGGTTTCATTAAATTTCAAATGTAACACAGTACCAAATGCAAGAAAGAATTTAAAAATGGTGCTGGGGTCATAGGTTTAAACAATAATCTCCAGTCATGGGACTTCTTGGGTTTGTACTGTATCATGAACCAAGAAAGTGATCAATAATAGGGTTGTCCAAAAATTTTCACAAAAATTCTAAAAGAACATATGAACAAAACCATCTTAAAAAGCAAACCTGTTCTTGAAACACCACTAAAGACCTATCTCAATAGCTAAGGCTACTAAAATATTGATAAAAAATTGATTTTCTGGTTGTTAGATAAACTTCATCCTTTTGTTTTTCACATTATTCTTGTTTCCAGCCTAGTTTGTTTAATTTTTTAAGAGTCCCGAGTTGTAAGCTTGAAAATGTAATCTTTATATTTGATTTAACTTGTTTCTGTACTTTTTTACAGTCCCTATTTCCCTTTTTAAATTAACAATTTTTAATTATCTTGTATATATCCGTGTGTCTAACAAGCTAGATTAACCTGATGATGATAAAACATTCTCCAAACATTGTACACATGTCACTTATGCAACACTTCTATAAACTGTATAGGTTTACCTTATCTCAAGTTATCTGATTGAAGAAAATTTCTGTAACTTTCAAACAGATATAATTAAACACACACATATACTTTCACAGCACAATGGAAGTGTACAGAAACTATAAAACAAAACCCTTTTAAACCTATATATTAGTAAGTGATAGTCTAATTCTTCCCATATTCCGTCAGGTTAAACTTTCTTTATAGCTACTTTCAAAGCTTTGTTTTATTAGTAAGGAATCAAGATTTCAGCCAAGGCCTGTACAAAAACTAAGGGAAAATCTTGAATCAAGAAATGGATAATATATTCTAACTGGGTGATAGGTT